TATTATTATTACTATTATTATTATTATTATTATTATTATTATTATTATTATTATTATTATTATTATTATTATGAGATTCCCATGATTTTGAGATTTCTGAGAATTTGAATAACACCCTATTGGGTGGGTTTAGGATTACCTCAAAATGTGGTAATGTGAAACCTATGGACTTCACTTTTTTGAGTTTTAAAAAGTCTAATAATTGTACCAAACATGAAAATCTTTCAGATCCTCATTCCCACCCGTATGATCACCCCATACCAAACGCCTCCTAATTATAGACTGATTTATCAAGGGATTATGCGTGTGCTTGAATTTTGATGTACTGTTTTTAATATTTTTCTTTAAAAAGTTATTTGTGTGCTCGATCATTCGAGTTTAGACTCATTTGTATCATTTTTTCTGTTTTGAAATATATGTTCCCGTAAAAAAAAAAAAAAGAGCTCGTTCCTAATTTTCTTTTTTTTTTTAGGAGAGAACCTTTTTTTTTCTTCTTTTTGCTGAATTTTCATGAGAACTTTGGAAAAAAAAAAACTAATATTTTTACCCACAGCTTGGAATTTCTTTTCATGAAATGATTTGGCATTTGGGTGCTATTTTTTTGGAACCATATTTCGGGATATTTTTTTTAAAAAATAAAAAATAAAAAATAAAAATCCCACAATTTTGGATTCATACAAAGGTTTCGCACCACAAAAATCCCCGATTCTGCACAGTGCACACAAAAAAACGAGCACCACCTTCCTCCTTCTTCTTCTTCTTCTTTTTGAGAAGTTCGTCTGCAAAACCCTAACTTCATTTCCCAAAATGCCACTTTCAATCCAAACCCTAAACCACTACTTCTCCTTCTCCATGGCCGTAACAGCGCCACTAAATCCCCTCCTCCCCAAACCCAAACAACTCCCTCATTTGATCGCCCCAAAACCCTCGGTCATCAGAATGGGCGGCGGTCCGAGGACCTACCCTGGAGGCGTATCGAAGTGGCAGTGGAAGCGCATGCAGGCGAAGAAAGCCAAGCAGCTCCTCAAGGCCAGGCTCTGCCGCGAACGCCAGATCTACGAGATGCGCAAGCGCTCCGAGCTCAAAGCCGCCGTGTCGGAGCTCGAGCGGCCATGGGAAGTCGTCGAGAGAGCTCCAAATCTCTTCTCCGTCTCCGCCGACGAGCAGCTCAAGGTCTTGGCGGATCGCTTCCAGAAGCCGGGGGGTTTCGATCTCTGGACGGAAAACGACGGTCCTCAGTTGTTTCAGACTCCAGACGAACTTCCTTCCGCGAGATTCTTCCCCAAAGGCGTCGTTCATAGCGTGAAACCCTATCGAAGAGTTTCTGAAACCGAGGAATTGGAGTCGGGAGCTCAAGATTACGCCGATTTTGGAGAGCAGAGAAATAGGAATGATGATTATGGGGAATTATCGGATGTGGAGAGTTTAAATTCGAAGATTTCTTCTAGAATGAGGAGAAAGGGGAATGGGAGAGATTCTGGTTTTTCGGATTCAAATGGTTTGGCTTTGTCTGATTCGGAACAATTTAGTCTTGAAGAATTGGAGTTGGAAGCTAGAAATCATGGCCAATTGGGAGAAGAACGAAATCGGAATAATAGGAGGTCTTATGGGAGGAAATTTCGCGATCAATCCAGATCATTTAGCGGAGGAGAGATTAAGAATGACGGAATATCGGAACCCGAGAGTTTGAATTCGAAGAACTCATTTGATCTGAGGAGGAAGACGAGCAGGAGAAGGTTTCAGTCTTCTGATTCTAGAAGTTCGGGTTTGTCTAATCCGGGGCTGTCCAGGTTTGATAGAAACCAAAGAGGGAAGAGTGCTAATTTTCGCAGGAGTAGAGGCTATAGTTCATCGAAAATGAATGATTCAGAGAATGATGTTTATGATATGAGTTTGCAAGATGGTAGCTATGAGCTTCAACCAAAGAATGGAAGATAGGATTCACAATTGGAAACTGGCATGCAAGTTATTTGATCCTAAATGTGTCTCACTTGCTTTCCAGATTGACAGAGGATTATGATTGGAATTGGAACAAAGGACATCATTTTCTGATATTTACTGGTATACTTTAATACTGTATTCTAACTTGTGAAAACTTTGATAGGAAGCAATTATTGTATAATATGCTCTCAAATTCTTAGATTCATAATGTACTGTTCATCAATGTAATAGTTGACATATACATGATGCCATTCAATTCAATAATATATTGGGTATTTATAGTATTGTTCAGTACTTGAAAAATCACTCTGTAAGGGGGGTTTTTTTTTTCTTTCCCTGATTACACTTTCCATGTCGTTAAAAAACCAAATGTTTTGGCTTACCAAAAAAAAAAAAAAAAAAAAACTGCCCGGTTTACGGGACTTGAGAATTAGTGGTAAAACCCTTTAATGGCTCTGTTGTAGTGTTGGATTAGTCTCTGTGTCATCATCAAAGAAGCTGTTAGTGGGATATATCTCTTGAGAAGTTGGCAGTACTTTGTATGCCAAGTACAAATGCAAACTTGGTTTTGTGATAACACAGTGACACACACATCACACGCGCGCGTTTACATACAGATGTATTAGATTCCCACTTTCTCGTCTTATTCTTGTGGTTTATTTTGTGTTTTCTGATTAACTTAACATCATGATGAAAAAAGCTAACCCCAAAATAAGTGGTTTTCGTTTAAGAGTGAAGATACAACAGGATCTCTTCTCGGCTGATTGAAAGAAGTCTATGGAGAATTCTGGAGAACTGTTTATCTGCCAAATTAGTTAAAGCTGTAGAATTGGTCATCATTTTCCCAAGAGCTTCCATTTTCATGTGCTTTGGACAAAAACAAAGATAAAATGTAGAGAGGATCGAAAAGAGTAGCTCAGTTCTTTCACTGAGCTTTACATGAATTTGGGAGCCAAATGACTTCCTATATGCCACAGCTAAAGAGAACACTTGCAAAATATTCCACTTATTGCAGTACCTGTGAGAAAGGTTTGCAATTGTCGGCAGTTATTCCTAGGAGCACCGTGATCATGGAATACTGATTTTTGGCTCATCTTTTCAGACAGGTCAAAATGCTTCTTGACAGGAATTTGAATAATCATTTTTTCTTGCCATCTCAAGTTTTCGTCAATTATTGGGGTGTTTTCGCGGGCAATGCACAGGAAACTGGATATAGTGGAGCTTGATATGATTGCATTGCGATTACAGAGCTATCTATCTCCAAATTGAGGTATCTGCCGGGCCTGAGAGAGACTGACTTTGTATATCAGTGGAGGATAGTGACTAATGAGGGTTGGTTTTTTAGCATTACTGTGCCTACAGCGATGTTGACTAAATCATTCTTATTGTATAAAATGGAGGGTCTTTATTGGAACTGTTGACTATTTACTTATAGAGAAAATGCTAGCATTATTCATTCTGTCATTTTTTTTATCACTCACTGCATTCACTATTTGACACGTGTATTCTACTATATCATTTTCTGTTTAAATAATAATATATCATGTTAGTGGAGTTCACGTGTCAAACAGTAAATGCAGAGAGTGACAAAAAGAGTGATGCTAGCATTTCTCTTACTTATATTATTAAAAGGAAAAGGCCTGAGATATTTCATTCGAGGATCATTAGTCGCATAAATGTATGTGTCGTCACTCGTTTTCCTTTCATGTTAAAGTCGTGTTTGTGTTTTAATATACTGGGACAGGTTCACAAGGACTTTTGTTGGGTTATTTACGGGATGCGGAGAATGTCTGCAAAATCTTTTGTTATTTGTGTTTTGTTTTTGGAAAATAAGATAATTCAAACTCCATGGCAGGAGAGAATTATTATCCATAAAAAAAGACGTCTTTAAATTTTCAAAATTATATTCCTGAAGTGGGTTGATATTCCGAGTAAGTACAGTTTATCTAATGATTATGTTATTGATTATGCTACAGAAACAAGCGAGATTGTCCTGCAGTGCATGCCATTGAAGTTAGAAAAGGGGCTGTGTAAATTGCTCAGGTACTCTCTTTGCTTCTTTGTGGGTTTATTATTCGTTACCACGCTTTCTACTATACGTGTTTACTAGTTTTATATTACGCCTAATGATTATAATTACATATTTGAGCACACTTGGGTTAACACGCCCATAAACACGTACTTGTAAGCATGCATTCAAACAGCATAAATTGAAGATAAGATTATCTCAAGTATTTTACGAAATCCCACATTTGCTAAGTCAAGCTTTAGATAATCCCGAATCTCAAATCGGATTTTTCTGGTGCTAATCTTAGATTGCCATCTAGATCTTCAACATTCTGCGCTAGTGGCGATTCCTATCCTCTAGGAAAGTTAAAGTTAGGTTTGCTCCACTCAAAAGGTTCTCCATCTTCTTATCCAACTTACCAACGTTGATAATATGTGAATTTCTTCCAATCATTTCAGGTTTTATTAGATGGGCCAAATCAATCATATCTAGAAGCATTATTAGATGCGTTATAATCCGCTCAACACTATGCATCCACCTTCGAACACGGTTTTTAACTTTCCTATTCACTAAGCCTCTGACCTCCACACCTTTTTACGTATGTCGTACAAGTGGTTTAGTGAGCTGTTGCCCTCCAATTCTTTTTCATACCCACTCAAATCCATTTAGTGGGTATTATCTTTTACTTGTGAAATTGCTATCATGATCGTCATGTGGCTTAAGATTATAGTTCTTTAGACCCAAAAGGAAAAAAAATAAATAAATTCTGACGTTTGTTCTATGGGTCTGTAGATTAGACATTTGACTTGAGCAAGTGGGTGATTACCTGTGTTCTCCTTGCCTCTGGCTTTTCCATGTTTGAAATCTTGTTCTCTTTACTTATGTTCATTCAATTCCTTAAAAAAAGAAAATTGAGTGTTTTTATTCACTTCTTAACATCTTTAGGCTTTTGTGTTTAGGATTCCTCAACACTTAATAAGACATTAAGAACCAAGTTGTCGACGATTTAAAAAACGTTTAGTAGATTTCTCAGTAGTTGGCCAGAAAATTTTAAAAGAAAAAAAGCAGCAATAGCTGCCACTTGCCCACACTGAATTAGTTGGAATGACTCAGAAATTTCATTTTAAATATGGTTCTTTGTGATATAGCTTTAAGTGGGACAGTAAGAGGGATAAAGGTTCAAAGTTCAAACACTTTGAGGAAAAAGAAAAAAAAAAAAAAACATTTTCAATTGTGGTCTGTTCTGTTCATTACATGTATGTTGAAAGCACTAGTAAAGCAACAACATGCTTTATGTTGATCTCCACTTTGGTCTTTAGCAAATAAAAATTGGTGGTGGTTGAGATTTGAGTAATTGCTCTCAGGCTGCTGATTAATACAAATCAAGCTCCCGTAGACAGACATTTCAGGTCTCCAACTAAAGGTGATCAACTCTGTCGCCAATTGCTTTACAAGCATATAAATCCAATCAATTGTTTACTTTCTAGGCAATAATGAACCTTGTTAAGATATGAAGAATATAATAACAAGAAGAAGACAGAATCAGCCAACAATGAAAAAAAAAAAAAGGGAGAAAAGACATACGCTTTATCAAAAGGCATATCTTCTGACAAAGACGTCCATAGGTTAAATTGAACAACAGGGTAAAAAATCCTATCCCTGTAGAACTATAATCTTGTTTTATTCTAAGTTAGCCTTGTGTTCAAACATAACTCAGATCTATGGTTTTCCTTTTTGACCGATTTGATATACCATCAGATATCTGCCATTAGCTATTACCTTCTTAATTATCCTGTAATATAATGGTGCTATACCATCAGATATCTGCCATTGTAGTTCGGTATTTCCTTGTGTTTGTCTAGTTTGAGCTGTTGATATATACAGTTGCAGCCTTGCAGGATACAATCTCGTGTTTTTGATGTGTTGTAATTTCAGATTCAGAATGTGACTATTATCTAGAATCACGTGGTATATTCCCAAGCATGAGCTGGAGGATAAAATTAAAGGTCTTATAAGACAGCAAAAAGAAAATACATAACTTGTAGACACTAGTTTTTTATTTTATTTTATTTTATTTCGATCATAATAATTTGGGAATTTTATTAGCTTTTCGTTGACCAGTAGGAAATTCTATTTTAGTTGTTGGATTAACTTTTTAATGATTTGATTTATGATTGGAAACATTTTTATGTTGCGTATTGTAAATTTCTAACGTGCACACTTACAAATCAGTCCATTGAAAAAATTAAGACATTTAAAATAACAGTTCCTATTAGGAAAGAAAATGACAGTTCTTGCCGTAAAAGTTCCTCAATAATCTAGAGAATTCTATTCTAGAGCACGAATATTTCATGCCCTAACCGTAACGCTCTATTTTAAACTATCAAATTTGTGTTGGGTTTATTCAGTTTGATTTGGTTTTGATCAAATTTAATATTAAAAACATGTAGTGCCGAGAGAAACCTATTGTAGACTCCTAGTAATTTAAAATAATTTTTTTAGTGGGTATGAAAAATATGAAATCTAGGGCCTGTTTATTTTTGTTTTCGTTTCTATTTTTCACGTTTTTCGAAGTTAAAAAATGAAAACACTATCTAAAAATGTGTTTGGCACAAAATTTTTCAAAAAACAAAAACAAAAACGTTTTTGTCTTTTTGTGAAAAATTAAAAACGAAAAAAAATCGTTTTCTCGTTTTCGTTTTCTCTTCTGAAAATGGTTTTCATTTTTTTTTTCTTCTCTCTTCTCTTCTCCGCTGCCCACCACCCCTGACAGCACCCCCCTCTCCCACTCCGACATCAACACCGACTGAAGGAGATGAAGGACGCTGGAGATGAAGGACGACAGAGAGAAACGTCGCCGGAGATTCCCTCGCTCGATGGCTATCGTCAGTCGTCGGACGTTGCCGCCATCACTACGCCCACGTGAACACCGCCATCAACACCGGCTGAAGGAGATGAAGGATGGCGGGGGAGAGAGAGAGAGAGAGAGATGCAGGAGATGAAGGAGATGCTCGTCGTCTCCGGAGCCGGCGGCCCCATGCCGCAGACGAAGGCGCTC